AACATTTTTAGAAGGCATATCATCCAAAAATTCTTTCAGGATGCATCAGTCCCCATGCTGATTGTGCCATACATTATTCTGAATGTAGGGAGTTAAACTAGTTTATAGTGTAATATTTCAGCTTAATTATGAGATGAATCAAACTGTTTTAAGATATGTAGAGAAATTTTAAAACCTCTTACATATTTGTAATATGGGTATGTTTTACATGGCTTATATAACAATTAGTTTCACCACTTTCTCCTTCTGTCTTCATAGGATGGCAAAGATTACATACCTTTGAATACTCTGTTACCAGAGGACACTGGGTCTGACCACTGCTCTCCAAGTTTCTCTGATCTTCATGAGAGAAAAAACAGTTCAGTGCCAGCCTTGACTAATGCAAATGCTGAAATTTTGGGGTAAGGTGAAATGTCAGGATATTTTATATATAAAAAAATATAAAACGGTGTGGTTTGGAGCAAGTCTGTAACCTGAGAAAACATCTCGGCAAAGTCCTCCCTAATTCTAGAGAAGACAAGGAAGAGAGGGAGGAAGCTCCTTCTGATTTGCAAGATTCAGTTACTATAACTTTACAATAAAACTAGTACTGACCTACATGACATAGAATTCCTAATCTGATTTACTTTGGAGTGCTGACAATAATACACTCTTCTCTCTACCATGGCTCCTGGCAACCAACACTGAGTAAGCTTGGGAAGTTATTAGATCATCATGCTTTGTGTCAGAGATCCCTTCCACACTACCACCAGTTTCATTCCTCAAACCCTCAGAAAAAAATTAAAATTGATCCATGATGTCTTCACAGTTGCTGAAAATTCTGTTAACCCCCATGAGCCAACCAATGTAGCTTCTAGGTATCCAAAGGAGAACATAAATGCTATCTAGCCAGCATTCCATATTGCATTTTTAATGATTTGTAAAGTTCATTGCTATCACAAAAGCTGGCATGGTATCATTCCTGCTTACCCATCTAAAAATTGTGAAACTGTAGTTCAGCATGGATGATGCTGTGGCTGAACCTCTGCAGAGAGCAGGCAGAATCCAGGAGCTGAGAAATTCTACAATGGTAAAACAGCCCGTCCCTTAACTTTGTGCAGCTCCAGAATTAGGCTTGTGTTGCTTTTAGGTGGTTTTTATTTTTATATTAATCAAATTTATACAGCCACCCATCTCACCAAAAGAGACTCTGGGTGGCACACAAAAATATGATAAAACAGAAAACATAAAAACAGCAGGTATTACAGGTGAGCAGGAAATAAATGCCATATAAAAATAATAACTATGCAGAGTTGGTAAAAACTTGATATTCTTTGTATTAAATATAATTTGTGAACATTCTTTTATAATTAATAAAATGCATCAGGCATATACTTACGCTGTCATCCATGATCAAATGTTCACATGTAGCTACTATATAGTAATATTTTGCTTTGATATTATCTCAAGAAGCCTTTTTTCCCTGTTTATTTTCTAAGAAAATATGTTCATGCTTTCAAGATGAAACCATTTCAGAGAGTCTTTGAAGAAAGTTCGCCTAAGCACAAATTTCAGCCTGATGTAAGTAAGCCCTAAAATATTTCTTTTGGATTCAATCCTAGACTGATGAACTGAAGACAAAGGAATGTTGAGAGATACTTAATTTCCCCAAGAACAGTCGGTTGGCTCATCATAACTTGAGTTGGATTGGGAATGGGAAATAGTTGAACCCACCTGGATCTCCCAAACATATAACTGCTAGCTTTCAAACCTCTAATCCTTCTCTATTCCTCTTTAAGTAAGAGACTGCTTAAGCAGTGGTAAGAAAAGGAGGAGTTGTGGAAACCATGGCTTGTTGTAACTTTGGAAAATCTGTCAAAAGGGTGTCCCAGATGGGTTCCAGCACACCAGAAAAAGGAGACAGTTTTAATCTCTCTTTCTCCTTCCTTCCCCTCGCCACCCTTCATCGGGGCTGGACCAAAGCCATTGTTATCACCATTCTCATTACAGATTCCCCTTTAAAAAACCATTTTTAAAAGAGTTTCTGGAAAAGATACTTATTGTGATGTAGATGACTTTTTTTTCCCTTTCTTCTGACTCAAGATTTTAACAGCAGCCTGGAAAGAGTTCAGGAGATGATAAAGCTCTTATTGAAATCTAAGCTCAAAGAACTTAGCTTATATATTTGTTGAGCTATATATTATGCATAAAAATTGAAGGCCCATCAGATTAGAGCTATCAATAAGAGGAATGGGCACAAGTTCAACCAAGCAAAATGCACCTATTGACTATTGATCATTTTCCTCACAAATCACAAAAAACAAAATTATTTGTTTCTGGCCAATGATAAAGTGAAAAAGGTATCCTCATTTTGGCAGTTTAAGGCTTGATCTGGACACAAAATATAATTTTCCTCACCACAATGCTCCTGTGAATCTTGCCAAGAAACCCATCTTTTCTATGTTTTACAAAACAAAGTTTAATATTTTGAAATTCTATAAATCAAGATGGGTTATAAAGAAAGCCCAAAGCTTCATAATCAGAATTGTATTCTCTTTCAGAATTATCAAGCTGAGGGGAGAATGATGCTGCCTTTGAAACAGCTAAAACGTTTTACATGGACTGGCATGAGACCAAAGCAAACTTTTGGGAGGTATTTCTTTCTTTCATTTATTAAACATATTTTCAACTAGGAGGATAAACTATTCAATGAAAATATATCACAATATGGTGGAACAAAAAGCAAAATACATCATAATAAAAAAAAGAATGGAAACAGCAAAGCTAGCTATACAAACATAATATTCAGCCCTGGGAAGAGGACAGTATGAAAAAGAAATTCAAAATAATCTTGCCATTATGTTTGATTTAAGATGGGGCAGAGAAAAACTGATAGGTTTTCAAGATCTTGCTATTCTAAAACAGCATTTCTGGAATTTCTGGTGTGTCTGTTTCTTGATATTGCCTATTGAAAGGCTGACACTTCCCAAGTAAATTTTTGTTCAAAATGATGCTACTGAATAAATTGCAGGAGGAACTGTTTATTGCCACTGCTGTCTCCCTTAAAGCTCCACAGGAAGGCTAAAACTTTCACTGAGACTAAGAGAATCCTGCATGTCTGATTGTGCTGTACCCCTTCCTCCTCATTATACTTCACTGACTTAGGGAGGTGTCTGCCTGAACCACTTCTAAAAGTTATCCAGAACTTCTGAACTTAAAACGCTTCAGTCTTCTTTACCTAGGCAATGTCTCCTGTTTCTTCCATCTTGGTCTTCTTCCTTACTCTACATACGTTAACTATTTAATTTTATTGATACTTTGATTGGAACACTACATGTTTAAAGTATTTTTATTTCACATTAGTTACACAATTATGTTTTAAAGAGTAAATAGCAAAATACAGTAATAATAAACAACTTGTTGTATACTCTTGCCTCCCAGCTAAAAAGTTACTGTTTTTACTTACAGTTTCTACACTGGAAACAGAAGCAAGGGACCTGTCTTTTGGGACACAGCTGAACCAAATGACTACACTTTAAGTTTTGGTCATACTAGTGATAGGATGCAGCCACTTACTTGTAGCAAAATAATGTGGGAAGAGAAACTAGTGCAGAATCTTTCTCTTTCCAGTCATAATTCAATAGTGCGGCATTCTACTTGCTGAAGTCAAAATACCTGACCTTTGAGCTGCAGGTCTCTCTCATCTCCACTTCAGTGCTGCAAATATTATTTTGCTGCTCATCAATTCATCATCACCTGGGTCAATTTCCCAAAATTATTTCTATAATGCAACTCCCCACATCAGCATGTATTAGCTCCTATCCAATAGTTGAAAGTAACATAAATAGGAGGAGAAAGTGGTATTATGTATGTCTGTTGCCTTATTTATAACAATAATAAAGGTGGGGGAAAAATACAGTACAGAAGGAGAGCTATTGGCTGGAGGGAATGAAAGTCTTGTGCATTGATTTCCCCAGTTCTTAACATCAGATTAATGCACTGGATTTATTTCTTTCATTCAGACTGTATTGTGCTGCAATGTTTACTATTTCAAAAACGGCTACCAATCTAAACATTTAGAAGGCTGACTTCAAACTTGTACTGGTCATTTGCCTTTTTGTGGAAAAGGAACAATTTTACGACACTTTTAAAACAATTTAAACCAAACCTAGTACCCTTCTGGATGAAGAGGCATAGCTCACTAATAGGTTCCAGCCAGCTGAAAACAGAAACACTGACTTAGGGACAATTTCTACTTTTGAACAAGAAGAAATTAATTTGAAAAAATGGCCCAACAAGATATTCAGCTGGCTCTGTCATTAGACAAAGGAAAGCAGCTGCCTCATATTAGCAGTTGTTGGGGGCAAGCAGTAGAGCACCCCAACTGTCCTCCTCGTGTCTCAGTTTGAGGACAGAGCATACCCTCATACCTGTAGAAGTACAGGTAGTCCTCAACTTACAACAGTTCATTTAGTGACCATTCAAAGTTACAACAGCACTGGAAAAAGTGACTTAAGACTGTTTTTCACACTTATGACTTAAGACCGTTTTTCACACCATGCAGTATCCCCCATTGTCACGTGATTTACATTCAGATGCTTGAAAACTGGTTCATATTTATGACAGTTGCAGTGTCCCAGGGTCATGTGATCACTTTTTGCGAACTTCTTACAAGCAAAGTCAACGGGAAGCCAGATTCGCTTAACAACTGTGTCCCTAACTTAACGACTGCAGTGATTCACTTAACAATTGTGGCAAGAAAGGTCGTAAAATGGGACAAAATTCACGTAACAAATGTTTCACTTCACAACAGAAATTTGAGGCTCAATTGTGGTCATAAGTTGAGCGCTACTTGTAATTCATTACATGCTGTCTACAGGTCTAATAGAAGGTATTACTAAAGAAACATACTGTAGTATACATTGGGCTAAATAAATATGCATAGAATTGCTTTTTAAAAAAAGTTATTTTGAAGGTTATAGAACTTAGCTTTCCCTTAGTGACCTGTCATAGTAACAAAAATTTCTATACTGTATGTATTTCTTATATTATATTCAGATTTTATATTCCAATAGCAAATGACAACATAGGAAGATGAATTATTTTAAGCTAGTCTATTGAGGATAAAACTAGAATCCTATTGTAGCTAATACACATGGAATGGGAAGGCTAAGAAATTTCTTTCTGAAGTACTGCTGAACTGAAAGTTGCTGGCGCTATTTCAGCTATAACATTTATGTAATGCTAAAACTGTCCTGCAAGCTTCATTCATACTGAAGATTTAAGTAGCATTGTAGTGAACCATTGTTTTGGTTCATTAATGAATTACTGGATGTTAATCTGTCAACAACAGATTCATGTTAGTCATGCTTACATTCCACTGACAGTAATGAAGCTTAGATTATGCCTAAATTTGCTTCACTGGGGTCAGCCAACAGTTCTTGGCTTAAGTCTTATCCCAATTATTTTGAATGAAGTTTCATTGAACTCCAATGGAGTTTACTTCTGAGGAAACTTGCATAGTTTTACATTGTTAAGTGTGTTTGGATTTGGGAGCATTTTATAATATTAATACGCTTATGGTCTCTATGTTATCTGTCAAATATAAAAGGATGTCCTAATATTAAAGTATGTTGTATTTAAGAAATGAGAAACTAAAAAAATTGGGATGGGATTTAATCTTTGGGCTATTGGTTATAAAAAGAGTATTTTTTTTTGAAGAATAGTTCTAATTCTTCTAACAAGACTTTAGAAACTGGATGTAAATAGCATGTACCTGTAGCCTAAGCTTTAAAATATATTTTAATGTACATTTTTTGAATTTTCAAAATAAAATTCATTGCAAGGTTTAAAAGAATCTGTGTGGTGGGGGGAGAGGGAGGGAGGGAGGGAGGGAGAGGGAGAGAGAGGTCATAAGAAATCAGTCATCTGAATTCAGAACTGTTTTATTGTTAGTCATGCTTTGGAGTAAAAGAATTTAAGCATTTTGATGAGGAAACCAAAATCTGTTAGAACTTTTCAGAACACATAGGTCTTTACTCAAAAACTAAAAGTTCATGTTACATAGCTAGAAAATTGTCAAGAAGTGCTTATTCTAATCCTAACTTCTTTGGACAGTCACAATGGAGTTACACATCCATGCTACTTGGCCATAATCCCTGTGAAGGCAAATACATGAGATTCGAATAGAAGAGAATATATCTACAGTAACTCAGGGTAGAATTGTTGAATCCTTGATGCTCTCTGAACTTGCAGACCTTCTGTTACCAAACTAGGTAGCATCTTCAGGGAAGCAAATAACTAAGCTCAGAGTGCAAAAAAGGACTCCGCAAATGAGATTCTGTCCTTGGGGAGAGCATCTAGCTTTTCTTTAGTATCTCCACACATCCATCCTGCCTTCTGAAGAGTTCACAAAGGGACATGGCAAGGAGATACCCAGAAATTCTAAATCTCAACACCCTCCTCCTTATAAGATCTTATGTATTTCGAGGGGGATCCAAGGCAGTTCAAAATTTCCTCAGAACAACCTTCAATAGTGTGCAAAGGACTTTTAGAAAGGTAGTCACTCCTAGGAATTGTGAGGGTAGGCCTCTATCACTATGCTGTTCTTTTTTCTATATGCATTCCTGATGCCTTGCAGAGGGTTTATAAAGATTTATTTTTTTATTAACTTATAGAAGTTTATGAGTTTTGGTAGCAGGTGATATATTTTTAAATCTTACACAAATCCCTAAAGAGAAATACTTTGTGTGTTCCTATTGTGTTTCCAGTTTTTTAAGTGAATCGATAATTACAATTCTTAAAGAATGTTTCCTCCATACCCAAAATCCAATTATATTTTTCTTATCTTCCCCATATTTTCTCTAGATTCCTATGGAAGGCCTTTAATACTGCTTTCTGCTTGAGGAAAAGATAGTTGCACTCCGTCAAACATGTATTGAAACCAAGTGCATTAGAGAGTCCTTATCTTGACTCACATGGTATTTGGCGCATCAAAACTGGTGCTTGATATCTGAACATTTAGAAATCTGTTAACTGATAACGCAATGCTGTAATCTAAGGGATTGCTTCTGTAATCTCTGACTAATCCTACTTTGACTCTTATCTCCTTTTGTACTGATTGTAGTAACATGCAAGTCCTTCACTTCAAAGGCTATAACTAGCCTCTAGTAATCTGTGGTTGGTAGTATTTTCTTTCAATGGAAACGTCTTTCAACAGTCAATGATTCAGTCTATGAAGTAGCACAGATAGATGTAAACCCCCATTTCTGAGATGATTTCTGAAACAAACTGTCTTTAATTCCCCCCTTTCCCCTAGTTATGCAGGACAAGGTATGCAGCTCCATCCATAGATTCAGTTTTCACTAATACCTTAAGGTAAAAATAATTAGAAACCTCAATGCATGCAACAAAGATTGTAAACATCAACAAAGATCCTAATCTACAGCAAGCGTGTTTTCTCCATAATATCAGGCGGATAGCACATCAGGATTCAGATCTTTGGGGGAAGAGCATATTCAACTCTCACTACTCAATTATCAATTGCATACAGTATTCATAACAGAATTTTCAGTACAACAAATATATAAACAATGCATTTTATTGTGCACCGTTTGTAGAAGCCATTACTTAGGCATCATGCTCAGGTACAATATAGGTGATCTCAGGGTTCAGTGAATTCAGTGACCATTCAAACTTGTGATGGCACTGAACAAGGGGGACTTATGACTAGTCTTGGCAACAAGACTAGTTCTGCCTATTGCAATGTTACTGTGGTCACGTGGTTATGAACTGGGTGCTTAGCATCTGGCTCACAATCATGAGCCAGATCTCCCTGATCTCCCTTCCTTCCGCCGCGCCCTTAAGACATGGTTATTCCAGCTTGCGGGACTGGCCTAGGGGAAACTTTTAGAGGGGTTTTAATTATATTTTAATTAGATTAAATTTAAATATTTCCTTTTTAACTAATTTTTAAATTTGTAATGTTATTTGTGTATTTTTACCCGATTGTTAGCCGCCCTGAGTCCGCAAGAAGGGCGGGATATAAATTTAATAAAATAAATAAATAAATAAATAAATAAATAAATAAATAAATAAATGATAATGAAGTGACCAGTGGTCACATTATTATGATGTTCGACATTCTCTGCTGGCATTTTATAAGCAAAATCAATGGGGAAGCCAGCAGGAAATCAGAAGTTATTGTCACTTGAAATCTTCACTTAACGAGCTGTCTGGTCCTTGTTTAACTATGGCAACCAATACTGCCAGAATTATCATCCCTAAGCAATGTGGTCATGTGACATCACAATTTATGACTTTCTTTAGGAATGGCAATTACATCCCAATTGCCATTGTATCCTGAGAGCCACCTGTAAACCATAAACCTCTCAAGCTTTCACTAATGGACTGTACAACTTCCTGATCTGAAGAAATATCTTTGTACCCAGGCATGATTCCATATACAGTATATCTATTAACTGATACTTTAAAGCTGTTCTTGAATTCAGACCTGAGCTTCAATAGTCCTATGAAAATGGTGGATAAGGAAATATGGTTGAAAGAGATATGACTTAATTTAAAATCACTTTAATGTTCCCCAGTTCCATCTATTTTTGTATCAATTTTCAATCTATACCAGGTTCGAATAATCAGCTTCCACTATCACCATCTCCAATTGCTTATTAACCAACTTCTAGCAACTTTCATTAAAAGGGAATGAACAGATAAT